CAATTTGGTCTGGGCCCGAGGTGGGCTTAATAACCGGCGACTACTGTACTGATTGCAATCTTTACATGCCTTGGCTTAATACTTTACACGAAATACTTATGTCGTAAACCAGATTTGGCTGCTTGTGAAAGGATGTGTCTAAGGAGGCCACATGAAAGCTACCAAAAATGGAAGTGAAAACCCTCTAGCACAGATCACAGAAAAAAAGGACGGTAAACAAACACAGGTAGGCCTACCATTTGTTGGCAAGTTAGCATTAGGCAGCGTTCATCAAAAGACGAAATAAGGCTGAATATAAGTGGCCAGCACGCTTACCTTAACGGTTTTCACAGCCACGGTAATGTTGTGCGGTTTGAATAGGGCCTCGTACACCACGCCGTATTGACCAGCACCTGAGGAGAAAAAAACAACAAACCTTAATTAGAACCGACGAATGTCGATAACATTGACCCTGCAGACTTAAGGACCTTTTCGGTGCAAACCTTTTTAATGCCAGTTATAGCAGTAGAAGGCTACAGTGGCTCTTAAAAGTAGAGAGGAATAACTCTGACAATCCCCGCCAATGCAGTATACTTTCGACATTAGAACGGAAGCCTGGCTGCAGTGCAATGCACGGACGGCTGCAAATGCTTGGCAACCGATGAAAATGCCATGTAGAAGACATGACATAAAAGGGAGGGAACAGACTAAGTCCGTCTGTTTCGACGCAGACCGCCAGCAGTGTGTGGTCTTTAAGTTCTTTCTGGCAAAGTGATATAATCTATGAAGGAAGTGCTTTCAGCGGAAAAAGGGGAGTATTTGAAGTTGATTTTATAATCACGAGCCGGTCAATGGATTCATTCACTTCTGGGTATCTAAGCGAAGCGATCTCATTACTGCTGAAGTCATTGGTTCTGCAACACCACAGACGTAAATTCTATGCTACTTATGTGGAGTATGCCAATCATGCTAGAGAATATATTCAAATTAGGCTCAAGATTACCTGTACCTCTGGTATAAACAAGTGCTCAGAGGACTTAACAGGGGGTGTTGGCTTCTCAATCAAAGTGACAAACGGAGTGGGGAATCATAGTTTTAGGAGAACCAACCTAATTTGTGTTTCATGACAATATCTGTTCGGTTACTTTCCCACTCATCAATATCGGCGTCAAGAGTGTTGTTGCTGCCGCCGAGACGATCATTCTTGGAGACCGCGTAGATGAGGGGACAGGCCAACCCATCGGTCGTTTTTTCGTGGTGTTGAATGAGTTCTGACACGGTGGCAAAGCGACTCGCCTCCGATATATAAAACTGTCGAAGAGAAAACAAACAAACAATGTACACCATGTAATCAGAGTTAACTGCGGTTAGATGAGGCACTTAAGAAACACAAAAACAAATTATGTGTGCACTCCTAAGGTGCCCAATAATATCTGCAATTCGAAAAAATGACCTGTATGCCGAGAATGAGATTCAAGTGTAACCTGCAGTGTAAAAAGCGTCAAGACACTTCCTGTGACAAATAAGCGGACGTAAACGCACAGTAGACGATGTGACTGGAAATCGAGGCGATAATTTCGGGACAACTCATAGGTGGTGTGCTTTACTTATCAGTCTAACGCGTTCGTGGAGAAGCAGCTCTTAATTATCTGCTTCAAGGAAACAGGTTAAACAGCTTGACGGAGACCAAAGTTAACCTGTACTCAAGCACTTTTCTACATCAATAACTGTCTTACACCAAATTTGTGCATTAGCGTAAAAAAATTTTCTACTGGATGGTATTAATCTTAACGGAGATGATTTACCAAAGTAATTTTCTCCAGTCGAAAATTTAATTACGACGGTTTGCATAGACCGTTGGATTTAATGCACCTGCATTTTCCTGGCGCACGCAAATATTATAGGGTAACAGCAAAAATGCCCAACACCAAGCGGGCGCATCAACTTTTGACCGTAACACAAGGAGCTATTTGAGCGGTTTAGTTTCAAATAGTGCATAATTTAGAAAGGGAACGGACATGGCAATATTTCAGTTGTTGCACTTTCATTCTGTACTAAAAAGTGATTAAAAGTATGCAAAGATGATTCAAACGTTTCTAATGAACAAAAAAGGATTTTTTGTTTGCGGCGAAAACGAAACCACTAGTAATTGCTGGAGAAGACAAAGCGTTCCGATATTTTTTAATCGCTTTGGAAAAGGATAAAGGGTGTGGGCAATCCGCTGTAGAATATCGTTAAAACAGTTTTTAAAGAGATTTTTCGGTTGACGAAGAGCAGTTTGATCACAGGCGCTGTACACATTCATTTTCTTCAGGGATTAGAGTTCACGTGTGGGTAAGTCTATAAAGTTTGCCCAAACAGCTATTCGCACACAAAAAGGGGCGTCCGAGAACCGGCTACATAGGCAAAGACATTGAATAAATGCCTTATTTGGAAGTTTTTGATAAATGGGACTTATTTTTGAGCACTCAGTTTACACAAATAAAGGTCAAAGAGTATGCAACGTCAGTCCTGAAACTCGATGGATTCCATTATCACCAAATTCCCCAGAAGCCCCTGGCTGAATTGCTCAGTTTATTCCGCTTTTTTAATCACCCACGGGCCTCTTGACATGCGATCTTTTGGGAACTGGTATCTCTCTCACTTCAGTATCCAAGATATTAGACGAAGTCCTCTTTACCTTGTTATTTGCCCTTCGGACGAAATATTACATTGAAGTCTCGGAAGAACATTTTAGAAAACATAAACGAACATGATGTTGAATAACTGCCATACTTCATATTGCAGTTATTAAGGGTACAGTTAAATAAAGAACACTAAATGTGACTTTTTACGCACTGTTGTGCTACGATGGTACTTCTGCTTTTCATAAGAAAACTGTTAGTTCAAACCAAGACAATATTACTGTCAATACTTCTTTTCTTACAATTAACTGACGGTCGTTCATTATTAATCGAACATTTTCATCCATGCCAGTAGGTTGGTATCCCACTGATTGCATGAGTATTTATAAATATAAAAGCCTATAAAATAGCTAATGCTATCGAATTTGCGGTTCATGACACCACAAAAACTTCAAGTACTCGACGTAGATTCACCTGAATTTTGCAATTTTACATTTTAACACCTCTGAAAAAGCTTTTCTAGAGAAATAGAGAGTTCTACTTCGTTTTAACAAGTGGGAGGCTAGTCATGATACAGTTTTGGACAAGACAGAGTGACTTGATAGCAAATTTTTTCCTCACGTGCAGTGCCAGGAACGGGGATTTCTCATTATGCCCTTCGAAAGTACGGACGCAGCGGTCAGGGACCGTTATTGACTTATAATTTTGGAAATAATAAGAGCCAGGTTATGCAAGGTGCACGCCGATAAAGCAATCTTTTTATCACATTAATCGGTGAGAAGGTGGAAATTGCCTCCTAGTCAGCCTGTTGGTTATCCGTGGCGCGTTTTTTGCAACGGATACTGGATTGACCTCAGGCGAATACTAAATGCGAAACATAGGATTTCTCAGATGAGACAACTAGCAGTTGTAGAGCACATGGCGGCAATGCCTTGCCCCTGCATCAGACAACTGACCGGCTCGGACTTTGGCCTCATGCTGGGGCTGGGGGAGAGAATGGGGTCGACAGTTCAATGCAGTTACCTCATTTTAAAAAAAGCTGACGCGTTTGAAGCTAGAACGGGAAACTATCTCTTCACCAAACAACCTCCTGAACCCGCTGTCAGACGAGCCCTAGCTTAACAGAATCATTAGGCGACCGGATGGCTAGGGGCTGCGCAGCGCAGCGCAGTTAACTCTGCGAGCAATAGAATCCAGACAATCACCACGTGCGGAAGATCCACATCATTCTTCTCAGAATATGACAGGACACAGTTAAACAGCGTGGTCCGCTACCATGCGAAAGACAACGAAACTACTGCATCTTACTGGATGGATGGCCTCTTCTTCCCCCTTTGGAGATGTACGGAATACTTGCCAAATTAGGCACCAAAAGATGTGAAGGTAACTTGTGAATTCACACAAGCAACTACGTGCGATCAACCTCTAGTTTAGATGGAACTGGCTCATTACTATTAGCAGGAGCTACAGGATACAAGACCAATTT